CATCTTTCTTTAATTTATGTAGATATTTCATGTGAATTTCATTACAGGGTAGTAATGGAGAATTCCAAAACATCTGGTGTAAAAGGGTACACTGGGTCTGATATAGTTGAGAACCACTGAATTGGTTCTTCCTCTCCATCTCTTACTGTGTACAAATAAATCTGGTCTGTTATTATACTAGCAGTTTTTATTCTATTATCTTGACCTCTCTAGCTAAAGCAACATCCTTAGTCACCTTCTAACTTTAACTTCTTTATTACACATACAATACCTGAAATCACCCTATCAATTGATTGGCTTCTTTATTTACACGCATTTTATCTGTCCCTGTCATTATAAAGCAGGCTCTTTTAAGACAGGAACTCTGGCATGTCAATTCTGGCACTCAAATATTTGTTGCCTGCTATCACAACCTAAACCTAGCGCACCGCTAAGCACTTAGTACTTGGTAAATATCTACTGGCTTATTCTTTACTCATTCAGTGGTTCTTTTCCCTTCCTCTACCCGTCAGAACACTTATCTCATAAATGTTCACTAATAGTGCTTTTTGATGGGGATAAGAACCTTGTGAGGGTCTGTGTTCTGAAAAGAGAGTGGCAAGCAGTTCTTTTTGAATGTCTTAAAGAAGTAAGCATGCAGTTCTTTTGAATACCTACCCTTATGTGTCAAGTATTGGCACTCCCATATTTTCTTTGGGAGCTTTTCAAAGGACACTGGGTAGGCAAGGCCACAAGTAGGTAAAGGTAAAGGTAGGAAGAATTTTAAATTTTTAAAATTAAAATTAGTTTTCCTGAATCATTTTTCTGTCTCTTAAAGTTCAGGCATAGAATGAGGCACACATACATTCAAGGATAGGTTAGCTGTCAACAGAAGCAGCGGGAGAGTGAGGATTCCCACACTGAGTTAATCACCTCTAAAAATCTCAGTGATTTAAGGAAATAATTGTGTTTATTCTGAATAATGGAATTAAAACCATGATTTATAATGATTTAATTGTGTAAACAAAAGAGTTGGAGGTGATTGAAACATGGAAAGCAAGTACTTAAGGATTCCTAATTTCTAATTATTTTCTTCCCTCTTTCTTCACCACCAACTATAGTGTGTGTGTGTTGAATGAAACCGATGTGAAACATCATCAATATTTCTAAATTACCTTTAAGAAACATCATCTAGAAGCTTAATTCCTGCATAAATTCTTACCATAAAGACATATATTAGAACTAAGAGTCTGTCATTATAAAGCAGAATACTTATTAGGTGAGAAATCACTTCAAGGGATCTTTTTCATGCATCCTTCATATATATCATGATGCATATTCAGTTGGCCAAGGAAAAACAAGAAAACATTTCCTCACCTTTTTAAGATGTTTGGCTTTACACAAATGGGCCTAGAAGGTTCTTGTTAAGATTAAAAAGTTAATTTCAGATTTCCAAGTTTTATAACCATTGACAAAAACTTCATAAACTTATCATTTGTCCTTTGTGGATTAAGTAACAGTTTTAATGGGCACTCTCAGTTCAGAACATCAAAGCAGAGAAAAGTCCCGGGCTCTAAAATTTCCCAAAATTGAATTTTATTATGGGCCACAAATATTATCAGTTGCTTTTTGAAGTGACAGTCTCACTTCACTCATTTTCCGGAAAATGAATGAATGCACAATACCCAAGACTGAATAACAATTTTTTGTCAGACATTTTAGAGTGTTTCATTCTTGCAACTCGAACAATCATAAGTGCTCTTCCTCAGACAATCATCATATGTGGGTATGCTTTATGCATACTTCCCATTTAGTCACACAGAATATTAAAAAGATGGGTGCACAAAGGTCCGAATTTAATAAAATTAATAATTCTTATTGGGACTTCCCTGGTGGTGCAGTGGTTAAGAATCCACCTGCCAATGCAGGGGACACGGGTTCGATCCCTGGTCCGGGAAGATCACACATGCCGCGGAGCAACTAAGCCCGTGTGCCACAACTACTGAAGCCCACTCACCTAGAGCCTGTGCTCTGCAACAAGAGAAGCCACCACAATAAGAAGCCTGCACACCGCAACAAAGAGTAGCCCCAGCTCACCGCAACTAGAGAAAGCCCGCGTGCAGCGATGAAGACCCAATGCAGCCAAAAGTAAATAAATAAATATTTAAAATAATAATAATAATAATTCTTACTGCTTTTTCAAGGATACTCTAAAGCAAAACTGAGGTTTTGTTTTGTTTTGTTTTAAACGTGTGAGAGTGTGGCAGAGAATATAATGACTTGGCTTAGTATCCCTGACTTGATTAGTGCTCAGGGCCAGCAGTTCTACTCACCATGCTTTGCACCATCAGTGCAAATGTCAACACAGTGAAAAATGCAAATAACATTCTTAGTTTTATTATGAAAATGGTTTTGACCTTGGAGACCTCCACGAATTTGCAGACCACACTTTAAGAACCACTGCCCTAGAGCAATAGTTCCCAAACAAGATACTCCAGGACAAAGTTTTCACCAATATGCAGTAAAAGGGGGAAAAAAAGAAAAAAAAAAGACAATGTATTAGACCTTTTTTCAAAGCTAAACCTGCTAAATATAAAAGACTGTTCTTTATTCTGAGTTATGGTCTGTCCTTTCTTTGGTATTAAAATACACTTTCTTTTATGAAATGAAAGGGGAAATAAGACGGTAGTTTGTTGATACATTTCAGTCAATCAACAAACCAAACCATTAAAAAACAGCATCCACGTAGCATAGCAGATTGGGAAATTTATATGAAATACATATTTATCTGAAACACATGCCACTAACAAGACCAGTTATTAAGCACCTTAAAAAATCCCACTCCAAGGATGCCTTCAACTGCACAAACTTCACAGTGGAAGTATGTAGAATGAGAAGTGACCGTGTGTCTCATTTCCTCATATAAGCAAACAAACAAAAAAACCAAGAAAAAAAAAAACGGTTTAACTAGATGATCTTTAAATTCCCTTCCAAATGACCCTGGAACCAGTGCAATTCAAAGTTCCAGGTAGTTAACTAATATATGTGTGGTCCTGAAAAATTACGGAAAAAAACAAAAACTAACTTACATAAACTAACTTACATATTCAAAAAATACCTTTAAGTACCAAAAAACTAACAATCAAGCCAACATAAACAATACACAAAATAGTAATAACATCGGAAGGCTATTCCATCATCAAAGTTTACTTCAGTTAACTAGTTCCACAGTCTTACTACAGATGGATAATTTGCACTGCAGTTCCAGGCTAACGTGGCAGAGGGAGGGGTTTGGGTGTATGTTTTTCCAAATTAGATGTATTCTCCCTTCTAAAGTGAAGTGAAAAAAAAAAAAAGTTAAGAGTTAGAGAAAAGACAAAGGAACCACACCTAATTTCATTTGGGAAGGGTGGGTGGAGGGACATGGAGAATAAGCATTCACAGCGCTTTGGTATCAATAAAGTAAGCCCATAGTGAAATTTCAAAATAAAACACTACTGAATCAGTCAGGCTCAAACTGGAAAGAAGCAGATAAAGTGGCAGAATTTGCCGAATTTTCGGCAGCTCTGCCCCAATGAATTATTTCCGAGGGAGGGATCCACCCTCCATAGCTAAGGCTTATTGCATCAGGCGCCCGTGCAGGAGAAACCCATTCGGTGTTCACTACTAGGTCATCAATCCTCGGGGTCCTATTCCGAGCTTTTGGCTCTACCTGACTGGATGTGAGAATCCCTTTGAAATAATCTGTTCCTTGTCCTCTCTAAATTCTGATACTCATGCAGTGCCCTAGGAAAAGGAGGCCTGTATTAAATCACGAAGCTCCCCAGCCCATGAAACCTCCCTCCCTTCCGCAAAATCAAATTTCAAAATGTTCCATACGAAGGATGGCTGACTTCACCGAGTCACTCAGGGACATTTACAGCTTCCCACGTTTACGATCTGAAAGCTCACTCATTCTGGGGAACCCAGAAAAGGTGACAGAAGTGAAGGACGATGAACTCACATTATTAGAAACGAAAAAAAAAAAAGTTCAACACCTCCCCACATCCACGTTTCAACTATTTTTATTTCCTCAACGGACCATTCTGCTAACTAAGCACCGAATGAAGGAAGATGTCAAGGAGGAAACACTATTCAAAGCATCCTGAAGATTAAAAAACAAGAGTCAGGCAGTGAGAGGAGGAGAACCCGCAGCTTCGGCACGTAATTGATCAGGGAAGAATTAGGAATCTCGCCACCCAGGAAGCACAAAGAACACAGCAGGGGCTGGAAATCTTCAGTTGAGACTATTGGGCTAGGACAGGAGGAGAAGCAAAGGGTCACAGATCCCAGCCCCATCGGAGAAGCAAGTGGTACGGGCAGTAACAAGGATTGGGAAGGGAGAACCGATCGCATGAAGAGGGAGGCAGAACGTCAAGGGATCCGAGGAAATCACCCCAGGAGAGGGGAGGACAGGGGTCCACCGGAGGGAAGGTGACCGGCGCACGCGGGGACTTGGTCCAACGTGGGGAAGGCGAGGAAGATGCCTAGAAACCAAGGGCTTCCAGAGAATGAAGGAGAGGGATAATTGGTGAGGTGGACCGGTGCCCGAGGAAGAGAGAGAGAGAAGGAGGAGGGGACCAGGGAGAGGAGAGCCAGGGCTGGGGGAAGGTGAAGAATGCCAGTACCTGCTGGCGCACCGCTAGCCTGAGAGGTGCCAGCACCTCCTCAGCCCCCGCACCATCCATGCTGCTCCGGGAGGCGGCAGCGGGGAACGAGGTCGGGGCGCGGGCTGGCTTGCTGATCGGCCGGCAGGGCAGAAGAGGAGGCCGGGCCGGGAGCCGGTGCGGCGGCGACAGCAGCAGAGCGGCGCGGGTGGCTCTAAGCAGCGCCGGGCGCAGACAGGGCATGAGACCGCTGCCCTGGGAAGTCCGGAGGGGGCGGCGGCGGAAGCGGCGCGCGCGTCCCGGCCGGGTGCATGATGAAATCGCCGCGTAAACGCCGCGGTGCGCGCGCAGCCGCACATTCCCCACCCCCGACGCGGCGTCGGGTCGCCACCAGCCGATTCGACACAAATTCCCGGAAGGACCCGGAGTCCCTCAGAGCCCCGAGAGGGCTTACCCCACCGTGGGCGCACGGGAGGGCTGCGAGGTCCCAGGTAGACTCCCCCAGCGAACAGATTTGCACGATTATGCGTCAGTGGGCCTTCAAGGAGGCAGCTCCATCCGACACATGCTGACCGAAACTCACGAGGACCTTCAGAGCACAGGCTTGTACAGGGGCCCTGACGCCCTGGCTGACCGACGGGAGTACACACTTCTGTTTGTGTTCTTTCGCCCCCTGGTTCTTAAAGGCTCATTAGACATCACATCAGATAAGGACTTAGACTCAGTGTTGCTCAGCTCAGATGATCCTCCGATAAGGAAACGGATCGAGAGGTTAATGATTTGCCCACCTTCACCCATCCATGCCTTCCAATGTCAAGACAAAAGTTGGGGAAAGGAAGGGCTTTATGGAGAAGATCAGTGCTGACCAGCCTTTGAAGGGCGAACAAGATTTGAATCAGCAGAGATGAGGAAAGTCTAGGAAAAGTTAATGTGCCAGAGAGTGGAGATGAGCGTCCAGGTGCCTGGGATTCCCTCTGCCTGGCCTTGCTTCAGCTGACCTCCCTCTTGTAGTTAGGCCCCCGCTGATGGACCCTCCGGAAATGGCTTCTTCCCTCCCTCCTGCCCCAAGGGCGGGTTGGCTGCAAAAGCTGGATTCCCTTTCTACAGAGGGAATAGAAAAATAAAGAATGTATTAGTTATAGAAATAGCATTGCACACACCCACCAGAATGCCTAAAATGGAAATGATGGAAAGTGCAAAGTGATGCTCTGGGACTCTCGCACACAGCTGAGAGGAATGTGGATTTGTACAGCCACTATGGAGAACTCTTTGACCGTGGCTACTGAAGCCAACCATACACACCTTATGGGTGACCAGCAGTTCCACCCTAGGAGTATACAAGAGTAGACAAGCTCAACAGAGTGAAGTCACCTTTCCCAGAACTGTGAAATTTCATATTACTTCTCTTCCTGTTCCGGTCTGTGGTTCTGGAGAAGTACACACAATTTCCCATAAGCAGAGCAGGTACAGAACGACCTTCTGCAATATTAAACAATTTGTATTTTTAAAACTTTTATTTCAAGATTTGATATTTACTAATCAGAATTTTTATTTGGCTTTATTTTAATAGGTAATTTAAAAAATTTTAATTGAAGTATAGTTGATATACAATATTATATGTTACAGGTGTACAAGACAGTGATTCACAATTTTTAAAGGTTATACTCCATTTATAGTTATTATAAAATATTGGCTATGTTCTCCGTGTTGTACAATATATCCTTGCAGCTTATTTTATACCTAATAGTTTGTACCTGTTAATCCCTTGCCACTATATTGCCCCTCCCCCTTCTCTCTCCCCACTGGTAACCAATAGTTTGTTCTCTATATCTGTGAGTCTGTTTCTTTTCTGTTATAGTCACTAGTTTGTTTAATTTTTTAGATTCCACATATAAGTGATATTTTAGTTTTTTGAGAAACCTCCATACTATTTTCCACAGTGGCTGCACCAATTTACATTCCCACCAACAGGATATGAGGGTTCCCTTTTCTTCAGGTCCTCACCAACATTTGTTATCTGTATTCTTTTTTTTTTTTTTTTGCGGTATGCGGGCCTCTCTCTGTTGTGGCCTCTCACGTTGCGGAGCACAGGCTCCGGACGCGCAGGCTCAACGGCCATGGTTCATGGGCCCAGCCGCTCCACGGCATGTGGGATCTTCCCGGACCGGGGCACGAACCCGTGTCCCCTGCATCGACAGGCGGACTCTCAACCACTGCGCCACCAGGGAAGCCCTGTTATCTGTGTTCTTTTTGATGATAACCATTCTGGCAGGTGAGAGGTGATATCTCATTGTGGTTTTGGTTTGCATTTCCTTGGATTAGCGATGTTGAGCATCTTTTCAAGTGCCTGTTAGCCACCTGCTTTTCCTCTTCGGAGAAATGTCTATTCAGTTCTTCTGCCCATTTTTTTAATAGGGTTGTTTGGGTTTTTTCCCTTTTTTTTTTTTTTTTTTTATCTTGAGTTGTATGAGCTGTTTATATATGTTGGATATTAACCCTTTAACAGTCATAGCATTGCAAATATTTCTCCTATTCAGTAGGTTTCTTTTTGTTTTGTCGATGGTTTCCTTTGTTGTGCAAAAGCTTTTAAGTTTAATTAGGTCCCATTTGTTTATTTTTGCTTTTATTTCCTTTGCTTTAGGAGACAGATCCCCAAAAAATATTGCTACAATTTATGTCAAAGAGTGTTCTGCCTCTGTTTTCCTTTAGGAGTTTTGTGGTTTCTGGTCTTACATTTAGGTCTTTAATACATTTTGATTTTATTTTTGTATATGGTGTGAGGGAATGTTCTAATTTCATTCTTTTATATATAGCTGTCTGATTTTCCCAGAACCATTTATCGAAGAGACTATCTTTTCTCCAGTGTATATTCTTGCCTCCTTTGTCATAGATTAATTGACCGTAAGTGTGTGTGTTTATTTCTGGGCTCTCTGTCCTGTTCCACTGATCTGTCTGTTTTTGTGCCAGTACTATGTTTTGATTATTGTAGCTTTATATAGTAAAGTCTGAAGTCAGGGGGCATGATTCCTCCAGCTCTGTTTTTCTTTCTCAAGATCGTTTTGTTTATTCAGGGTCTTTTGTATTTCCATACAAATTTTACAATTATTTGCATTTTTAAAACTTTTATTTCAAAATTTGATATTTATTAACCGTAATTTTTATTTGGCCGTATTTTTTAATTAATTAATTAATTAATTTTGGCTGTGTTGGGTCTTCATTTCTGTGCGAGGGCTTTCTCTAGTTGTGGCGAGCGGGGGCCACTCTTCATCGCGGTGCGCGGGCCTCTCACTGTCGCGGCCTCTCTTGTTGCGGAGCACAGGCTCCAGACGCGCAGGCTCAGTAGTTGTGGCTCACGGGCCCAGTTGCTCCGCGGCATGTGGGATCTTCCCAGACCAGGGCTTGAACCCGTATCCCCTGCATTGGTAGGAGGATTCCCAACCACTGTGCCGCAAGGGAAGCCCCTTGGCTGTATTTTAAAGGTAATTTTGAATTTATATTAATAGTTTTCAATATGAAAAGCAAGTAAAATTTTTACACATACTCTTAGTTACATTTTTGTGTATGTTCAAATTCTGTACACTTTGAATACAGTTGCATATTTTTAAAAATTCTTTAGGTCAGTAATGTCTCATCTGTGTTCATGTGAGGATAGTCTCATCACTAGTCTCCAAATCTATCCTTTCCCTGCTCCAGTTCATCCTCCCCACTGCTGCCTCAGTGAGTATTTCTAAAAGGCAAAGCTGTGCTTGTTGCACCTCTGCTCAGGACACCCCATTAGGTCCACATGGCCCTTAGTAGAATTTCCTAAGTGGTTTTCCTTAGGAAACTACTTCTGCAAGACAGTAATAATGGCTTATATTCTTTGAACGTTTACTAGGTACCAGTTAGTGTTCTGAGTTATCTCGTGTAATTTACTCACCAATCCAGTGAGACAGGCTACATAATAATTCCCATTTTACAAATTCAGGATTCAAGACACTAAGATATTAAACAGCTATGGTCACACAGCTACTGAGAGTGGAGACCAGAAAGAATATGAGGCTGGGGCAGGGAGTGGAGGGGAGTGGCAGTTTTGCCATGCAACTCATGAAGCTGGTGAAGCTTTTAGTGAGCATGGGAACCTGCTCATTTGGATGCACTCTCTCAAGGCTCTGGAAGAGGCCCTAGCACTGTCTACGCATGGTCATATTTTTTTCTTTCGTTATTAAAGTTCTTTATTTGAAGGAGTGAAATTTGCATACATTGTAACGTACAAATCTTAAGCATAGTTCAATGGATTTTAACAAAGGAATTCCCACTTATAACCCACAACCCAAACAAGATAATGAGCGTTTCCCTCACCTCACAAAGTTCCCTCCTGGGCTCTGTTAATACCCTCTATTGTTTTGTCCATTTTCTATTACATTGATTTCTACTTTTATCTTTATAATTTTTCCTTTTACTTAATTTGGGTTTAAATTGCCCTTCTTTTTCTGGCTTCTCAAGGTAGAAACCTAGATAATTTATCGTAAACCTTTCTTCTTTCCTAAATCAAACATTTAAAACTATAGATTTGCCTCTAAGTACTGTTCTAGTTGAATCCCCAAAATTTGATTGTTGTTTTTATTTCCATTTAGTCCAAAATTCTAATTTTCCTTATGATTTCTTCCTTGTCCTATTAGTTCTTGAGAGGAGCATTATTTAATTTTCAAATAATTGGGGCTTTTAAACATATCTTATTATTTTTAGAATTACTTTCTAGTTTAATTCTTCTGTGGTCTGGGAAAAACTTTTGAAATTTGCTGACTCCGATCAGTTTTATGACCCAACATATGGCATACCTTGGTGACCGTTCCATGCCTTAAAAAGAACGTGCATTATGCAGTTGTTATGTTTAGTGTTTTATAAATGTCAGCTAGACAAGGTGGTTCATGATGCTGTTCAGATCTTCTTCATTATTAATTTTTTTGTCTACTGGTTCTATCCATAACTGAGAGGATGTTAAAATCTCTATGATTGTGAATTTGTCTATTTCTCCCTTTAGTTCTGTCACGTTTGCTTCACATATTTTGAATTTATTCAGCACATACACATTTGTAATTGTTACATCTTCTTGCCAAATGACATTTTTGTTATTCTGAAATGTTCATCTCTAAATATACCTCTTATCTTTAAACCTATTTAGTCTCGTGAGTATAGGCAGTCCAGCTTTTTTATGATTAGTGCCAATGGCCAATGCAGAGCTGAATCCTCTTACCGTAAGCCAAGTGACTGAGCCACCTAGGAAACAAGTTCCTAGCCCCAGTCTGGCTTTCATATGACTGCAGCACCAGCCAACATCTTTTTTTTTTTTTTTTAACATCTTTTTTGGAGTATAATTGCTTTACAATGGTGTGTTAGTTTCTGCTTTATAACAAAGTGAATCAGTTATACATACACATATGTTCCCATATCTCTTCCCTCTTACGTCTCCCTCCCTCCCACCCTCCCTATACCACCCCTCCAGGCGGTCACAAAGCACCGAGCTGATCTCCCTGTGGTATGAGGCTGCTTCCCACTAGCTATCTACCTTACGTTGGGTAGTGTATGTATGTCCATGCCTCTCTCTCACTTTGTCACAGCTTAGCCTTCCCCCTCCCCATATCCTCAAGTCCATTCTATAGTAGGTCTGTGTCTTTATTCCTGTCTTACCCCTAGGTTCTTCATGACATTTTTTTTTTAATTCCATATATATGTGTTAGCATACGGTATTTGTCTCTCTCTTTCTGACTTACTTCACTCTGTATGACAGACTCTAGGTCTATCCACCTCATTCC